TTCACAAGAGAAGGCTGAGGGGGGACCTTGTGGCCGTCTATAAACTTACCAAGGGGGACCAGAGGGGAATGGGTGAGACCCTGTTCCCCTGAGTGGTTCCTGGAGTAACAAGGAATAACAGCCACAAGTTGATTGAGAGTAGGTTCAGGCTAGACATCAGGAGGCACTACTTCACAGTCAGGGCGGCCAGGATCTGGAACCAACTTCCAAGGGAAGTGGTGCTGGCTCCTCCCTTAGGGGTCTTTAAAAGGAGGCTTGATAACTACCTAGCTGGGGTCATATGAGCTTAAACTTACATGAGGTCATATAAGCCCAGTATTCATTCCTGCCCAGGGTGGGGGGGTTAGACTTGATGATCTGCTCAGGTCCCCTCTGACCTTACATCTATGAATCCGTGTCTGAATCACCGAATCTTTTTGAATCAATTAGGAGGGTTCCAATTCAATTCAGAGAGTTTAAAGGGTCTCCTGATTTGATTTGGAGATTTGGCCACCAAATCGGCCGAATCTCCACTGAATTGAATCAGGAACCAAAGCTTCTCATACCCCTAGGGCTCAGTATTGATGAAAGTCAGCCAATATGTTTGAAGCTGGGTCTTGCATCTCAGTATCTGATTTTGAAAATATATCCCATACACTTCTCTGATCTAGGCTTTGATGCAGGTAGTGATGACACAGCTTTGTCTTAATCCAGGTATATTTTCCAAGCCCCCCCCCCGATGTTGAAAGCATGCCAAATATTCTTCTTCTGAGGGTGGGGAAACAAGCTGAGAAGAAAATTGCCTTGTGTGGAAGGGAGGAAAGTAGTGGACATCGGAAGGGTGCTTTTTCCTCTGTGAAACTTAATATGAGCAAGGCACCTGGCTCTTCCATTCTCCAAAAATACTTCCGTAAGTCCAGGTCTTCTCCTTGCTATCCTGTGGGCAAAGGCAGAAGATTTTGGAACTGAACTGCAGGTTAAGCAAGTAGTATAAGGTACAGGATTCTCTGCAACTTCCACAGGGAA